CGACGAGGCTTTTCAGCCGTGTCAGCCGCGTAAAACCCGCCTCGATCGATCCGCGTTGAATTATTTCGCGGCCGATTCCTTGGCCGCGCGCCGTTCGATCTGAGCGGAGCGATCACTCGCCATTCCCGAAACTTGCGCTTCCGTCCCGTTTCTACGAAACTTTTCGAAAAAATTTTTCCAATGTATCTCTCATATTGCACTTACCAAAAAATCTAGGATGTCTATTATTAATATATATTGATTAAAAAAAGGGAGAAAAAAATAAAAACTCAATATTTCCCCCTCTTCGATCTTCGAAAATCGATTCGTTCCTGCTAAAAGAAAGAAGAAAGGGAAAAAAAAGGAACGCGAAGATTTCAAGTTTTTATTTCCTCCCCAATAATATAATAGTCGACAGTTTTATATTTTATCCGTGGTCTCGTCGTTGGTGGAGGAGCTGCTAGAGGAAAGGAGAAGTCTGTGATGACGGCGCGGAATTCGCGGCTGCTCACTCGAAACCGTCGATATCGCGGCCATTCGACTCCATTCGCAGTGTAACATTCTACAATCCTCGAAAGGCACGCCTGGTAACAAGTTTCGAGTTTGTTTGCAGTTTGTTGAGAAATTGAGCGTCGACGAACCGAGTTTTTCCCTTTCTTCCCCTTTTGCTTTCCTTTTTTCCTCTTTTCGGAAATTTCGGCTCTGGCCTTTTACGCTGGCCCCCTCCCTTCTCCAGAATCAAGCTAATCGAGGAAATCGCTCCTACTTTGCGGCCCGCGTTTCGCTTTTCGACTCGCGGATTACTATCGAAATTGAGCGCCCGGATTAAGTTTGGATTTTAATCAAACGAGCTTTACATTAGGCTTGATTAGGATTTGATCAAGGCTCGCACCGTTTCTACATTAATATAATTCTAATCTATCGTTTTATTCGATATCCGTGGAGGGGTGAATTAGTAAATGAGATTCTATCGCTCGATGGATTTAAATTTGATCGTAACTCTTATATATATATATATATATATATATTTTAGATCCAATAACGAATATTTCCACTTCCTCTCACTTCCATTCGGTTCAATAATTCGAAGACATATCGAAAAAATATTTCGAATTAAGTTCAAGAGGAATAGAATGAATAGAAAAATCTACTAATTTTTTTTCTAGAGAGAATTCGAAATTCCGGGGAAGGGGGTCGAGTTAATTTCGAGAGGCAGGTATGAAAATGATTCCGGGAAAAGGGGAAAGCGGTTGTTCCCACTCTTTGGAACTATGCCAAATAGTTGGCGAATTGACCTTAGCCCAGTTAAACGCCACTGCAACGAATCTTTCTCCGATTCTATTTCCCTCCTCCCCGATTATACGACTTTTAAACTATCCCCCCCAATCAGCCACGCGTGCTCGACACGACCATCTCTCACCCTTCGAACTTTTCGAAACACGCGGTTTTCTCCACTCGACACCCCCTCTTCTGAATAATTAAAAAAAATCGGGTGTCTTTTTCATTTTTTTTTTTTTCAAAATCGTCCACGAATAATCGAATAATTTATTTCGAGGAATAAATTCGAATTTAAGTATGGGGAAGAAAGGGTGAGAGGGAAAATAATTTCAGACAGTTTTGTTTTTCGAGACCCACCCTTCGCCTATCCATGACACGTATGATGCAACCCCCTCTCTCGGTTTCTCAGGCTCGTACACTGGGGCTGTCAAGGAATAATCACGATCCTCGCGCCGATAGTGTCCCGTATTTCCAACAATTGATACGCCTCCTCCCCCTCCTCCCCCTGTAGACGTAGACGTAGAGACCTTCGTTTCGTTGCGTTACACGCGGTGAATTACACCCAGGACAGGATATCGATACAGTTCCTTAAACGTCTACCCTGTTCCCAAGTTGTGTGAATGCAAGTAATTCCATTCCAGATCTTCCGCTTTGCAGTTATAAAAAATTTCTAAAGTCTAAATATCTCTTTTAAGAAGAGACAGAAGAAGAGAATTATTGAAAAAAAAAAAAATTGAATTTCGAGGATAAAAGGATTTTCAGATCGATTCAAAATCGATCAACATTTTCCAATTCTAATAAGAATATTAAGATTGTATTTTCCCTTTGACCGAACGATTTTTTCGTGTGAATTATCGTATTCAAGTAATTCTATCAATCTTCACTTTAGTTTGTCAAAAGTTTCGAATTTAAATCTCTCTTTTAGCTAGAGAGACAAAAGAAAAGGATTTTCAAATATTTAAGACGTAATTCCCCTTGGAACGATCTTCGTTGAATTTATCGTATTCACGCCTGTTCTCGCGATTTCTCGTTTCGATCCGCGAGAAGAAATCGAAATTTTATTTAAAACCGATGCCCGTTTCCCGCGTTAAACGCGTTAATTAACGCGTTCGTGGTGCACGCGCATCACAGTTTGTAATAATTGTTCCTTCGAGCAATCGATACCTTCTCCCTCTCTCTCTACTCTCGCTCACTCGCTCTCTATATAGCTGCTCCGTCCGTGTTATTGATCGACCTACGTCGAGTAAGAAACGTCGCGTGGGAAGAAAGCGTGCCAGGCCAGCGTTTACCACATGCACGACAAATGTTTACACACGTTGCTACGTTCGTACGAACCGCGGTTTTCTTCTCCTCCTTCTCTTTCTCGCGGCTCGTACTTCCTTGCCTCGTGCAGAAGGTAGTAGGACAAAGTGGATACCAAAAAAATCCTTTTTCCCTCGTTCTTTTCTTGTATTCAGAAGAATAAGAATAACTTGGAATTCCTTTGGATCTTTTCTTTCAATATTTTTTTTAACGAAACTCATTTATATATATATATTAGATTATATTTATATGGATATATTTATATATTATATTATATTATATTATATATTTATATGGAAAGTAATTTCATTTTTTCACACAAGTGTCGCTAGTCGAACATTTATATATAGATATATATAGATATTGGGTTGTACGGAAAGTAATTTCGTTTTTTCGCACGAGTGTCGCTAGTCGAACGTTTTATCCAGCCAACTTCATTCTAAACCGTGTTGTTATTATATACTTTGAGAGTTGGCATTTCATGGTGGTTTGTTTATAAGAAAAATTCGTTCGATTCTGTGCGCAGTTGTGTTTTTCGTGCGTGATAACACAAGATGAAAGACAAGAAGGTGTATTTTCGACATATTTTATCTTTTTTGTAAAAGGTAAGAATGTTGTTCAGGCGAGTTTCGTTCCGACAATTTCGTTCGAATTGAAGTTGACGAAGACGAAATAAAAGCATCGAAGCAAACCGACGAATAACGAACTCGAGAAACCGCTACGAGATCGAATTCGACTGTTCACAAATTACTTTCCGAACAACCCATTAAAATATCGATGCAATATTGTATCCTTCAAGAAAAATAGTGATATTCTTCGCGGAGAATAATACTGGTATCCACTGTTATTATTAATTATAAACACGAGAGATGCGTTTAATGATGGGATTAATTAGACAAGTGAAAATACGTGTGTTGCTTAATAAATCGAAACGTGTATGAAAAAGTAAATTGAGATACAACTCGATGCAACAAGGACGGATAGGAATAGAAGAATTGTAGGTTGAGTTGGGAGGATGAATATTTATTTAGCGGAGGAAGAAGTCAAAGAGAAGAGGGAAGTAGTGGGCGCACAAAGGTTTCCGTTCGATGCGTTTCTTCGAAAGGCGAAGAGGGCGTAATTTACGCTCGAGTTTTCCTTTTCTCTTCTTTTCCCCCATTGATATTTATTTATCGGATTCAATTTTTTCCTTTTTCTTTTTCTTTTTTCGAAGAAAGAGTCGAGGATCCTTTTCAAGTTAATACAACTTAAAGGATCGGATGGGGACGGTTATGTGGGCGGTTATGGAGTGGCGGAGAGGTTTATTATAGTTTCGTCAGAGAAGGCGAGGGGGGAGGGAGCTCTGGAGACCCCGAAAGGCTACCTTAAACCCTTGGCAAATCTCAGAAGCTAGCATGAATATTCATCGATCCAGGAACTCTGCTCTGCAAACAAAGTGCTTTAAATTCTAATTCGGTAATAGGTTGCTCGAAATTCCTCGGCCCCCTTAAAACGCGCCTTTTAAAATATTCAGTGTCTATGAACTGATAAATTCCTTACCATATATATATATATCTAATACCTTAATAGATGAAAATAATATTCGAATATTTGTTACTCGAGCAATTTCAAGCGATCTTAAAATTTTCCTTACATTTCAAGAACAAAACCTAAATTACACCTATATTCCAATTTCCTCACTTTCTCTCAATCCTCAAAATTCTACTACACTTTACACGTCTCGTTTCATCCCCGCGTCGCGATCCCAAAATATTTCGATAAAAATCCGTTTCGCTTTGTTGACCGACCATCTTCCGACCGATTTTTCCAGGAGACGAAGAGGCCGTCGAAAGAGATGCAGGTGACAATCGCTAGGCAGCTGGGCCTGGAGCCGACCACGGTCGGCAACTTCTTCATGAACGCTCGACGCCGCTCCATGGACAAGTGGAAGGACGAGGATCCGAAGACCGTCGCGGTCGAGGAGGGGCAGCTATCGCCCACGATAGGTATCGGGCAACGGCAACCAAGCGACGTTTTGTGACACACGTCCGACCACGAGGAGTACCACGACGAGTCGCCCGAGGAAGACCTCCCCTTCTCGTAAGGGGGTCGCGGATTTCGCGCGCGACGCGGCGATTATCACCACTCGAGACGCTCGACTGCTGACCTGGAACGTCAGTTTTCGGCCATATTCCCAGTT